CTAGTGCATATAAGCTTGCTAATATGGATAATTTTTCATTCCTGATGATGACATAATTAATGTCGAAATATTGAATCCCAACATGATGGCGTGTATTTCAATACTTGGAGTATGTATTATACTTTCTTGAAAGTAATTAAGTTCTTCAAAATTCAAGGTTTTCCACTCTTGAAAACAGTCAGATAATTTTTTCCCATTGTTAATACAGTAATTAGGCCTTATGTGTGTATACATACATAACAAAAATTGAGTAAGTTGCATACGTAGTTTTTCCATGAATCGATGAATCCCAAAAAGAAAGGGTGGGGGGGGGAGGGGATGTCCTGTGGTTCTTCCCCGGGAAAATTTTGATTCCTAGGTGGCGGGAAATGAGCTTTCCCGACATTTGAAGTGTGTTTTAATGAATTTTATGTTCATCAAAATTCTAATTTTCTAATAGCAACAAAAAAACAAAAAAAAAAAAACAAAAAAAAATATCAGCTCACGGGTCCTGAAAAGGTAGGTTTAGAATTCTTTTCTTTTTCCCCTTTTTTGTTGCCCAAGGGAGGGGCCAGGACCCATGACCCCCTCCCCCAGATCCGCCAATGTGAATTGCGAGAAAATGTAACTCGGTCTTGTACAGGATAAACATTCTCTTTCCCATCCTTCTCCTCCTTCTCCCCTTCTTTTTTTGCATTTCCGATATACAAAAATCTCCAGACATATATTTTTCGCCAAAAAGTTTCGCCCCTCCCCTCCCCCCCCCCCCCCCCCCCCCCCCCCGCCCATGCAAAACCAATCTTATTTTAAATAGAGTAGAATACGGTTATGTCAAAGCTCTGTATAGTCTGGAATATTAGAAGCCCTGCGACCTCTCTCGGAATAATCTTTTTTTTTTTGTACTAGTGATATGTAGGCTTTACCCCAACACATTTTTCAAGGCTGGAAAAAGTAGGAGTGGCCATTTGGGGCTGGGGGCCTTTGGCTTTTCCCACGCGGGGTCGCATGCATTATGCCACTGGGTGTAACAGCTTGTAATTTGATTTTCAAATTTGTGAAATAATACAGGCTTATATAATGCTAATGGCACTCTACTGCAAGTTGCTGTGTATAAACAATCCCTTTCAACATTAGTTTTTTATTAAGTATTTTCTGTATAAATGAAGTGCTTTGTTGGAATTAATAGTGGTATCAAGGGTGATATCAAAGAGTATAAAACTGCAAGAGGTCCGACTGCCGGGGATTCTTTGGAACGCAATACTATTTCAAAAAGTACTACCCAAAAGGGGCGTAGCCTTTCAAAGAACGAAAAGTGCGGTCATGTTAACGCGTGCTGCACGTCTATATAGAATGTATGCTGGAATTTGAAACGCAGCACGCGTTCGATAGAAACGCCTTTTACGTTTTTATAAAGGACACACCCCTTTGTGGGAGTACTTTTTAACGTTCCATTGCCTGTATACAAAATAAGGGCAGTCGGACCTCTTGCAGTTTTGTACTCTTTGGTGATATTAATAAATGGTAATTATGTAAATGAGTAACTGGGTGAGCAAACATGGGTGGTTGGCCTACTAAAATAATATTAATACTCTATACATACGGCGAGAACTTTTTATACTGTGTTTCACAAACTTAGTTTTTGAAGATCAGAGGGTGGAAAAAAATACTGTACTGTACTTTGTTTTCTCATTTAGCAAAATGATTTTGCCAAAAAAATCTAGGTGAAGAATATAAAATTAAAATTGTATTAATGAATTAAACAGTGTAGTAATGAGATTAATAATGCTTTAAATTTATATAATATATCTTATTTTTGGAGATTTCAGGGGAGTGGAGGGCATAATGAATATAAATAAAAAACTTTATTTTTTCGTGGCAGATGGTGCGCTAACTGGCCAAAAATGAAATTTTATTTTTATTTGAAATCACCATTTTTGGCCGTTAAGAGGGTTCGCTAGACAAGGTATAAAAAAAGTCAGGCCTAATGTATTCTGCAAAGTTTGAACACAATCAGACTTGCAACACTCCAGTTATCACAAACAACAGACACAACAGAAAGGACAGAAGGCAGCATTTTCAATAGTCCCCCAGAGGGATGGCTAATAATTCCAAATGTTTTAATAGCGTACAACAATGTTACACATAACTTACACATATGTATCTGTAAATAACATTAAGACACAATTTTCTTGGTTAATCGTAAAACAGAACGTTGGCTGCTATTTTGATTTTTAAACCTTATATTTCTTTTTAGTTCAGCATTGTCAATAAAATATATCCGAGTCTATAATTGCATCAATAATTCGATTAAAAAAAAAAACGTTTCATTTACTGTTGCTCCAACTTTTGGGGATTGGGCATACTGGTAAGTAAAAATAAATAAAAACTGTAACATATTATACATGTTTCAATACAGGCAGTTTTTAAAATACAAACATGCTTTCCAACAAATAAAACCAGGCTTTTAGATAAATTTCAAGTTACACAATGTTGTTTCAGACCAAAACATACTTAAATAGCCAAAGAGTAAAAACAGTATTAACATCTTCACAGTGGCAGTATATATTCTGATATATTATATTTCAAATACAAGTTTTATTTGAACTGTTTGCATTTCTAGGATAATATGCCTTTATACAGATTACCACAGTCCACTAACCGACATCAGTCAAAACTGTAGTCGCAAAAGTGCTTCTACGGATCACTGAAAATGTCGAGCATTAACATCGACCATTGCACTTATACAGAAACCAGGTTCCAAAATGGCGGTAAATGTGAAAAGACTGCAATACAATTTGCATTTTAGATCACTTTGAATTGTGTACTGTACAATGTTTGGCTATCTTCAACACTGTTCCTGTGTAATTCAAGTATATTGTATAGTTTATTTTTTAAATTAAACAGTTAACACACTTGTTCAATGATAGTGCGATCTTTCTCTATAACCTGACTGTCGCCCTCTATATTCATCACGACGCGACCAATGATCTCTTCCTTCCCGGTAATCTTGATCTCTGTAAGGATTACCTCTGTAGTCATCATATGGATGGCGGTGGGGAGGAGGTGGACGTTGATTATCATGGTCATATTCTGTGTACTTTCCTTGGGTATATCTGTTACCATCTCTTTGATCTTTGCTAGGTTGGGCCGGGGATACCCTCTGAAGGGGTAAAATAGGTGAAGAAACAGAGGACGGCGAGTACTTTTGTGGTTGTTCACCCAGGTCTAGTTTTGGGTCTTTGTAAGAAGCTGTAGCTGCCGGATATTCAGGTGTGTAAGTATACTTAGGTTGGGTAACGGTAGAATCTGGAGACGCCTGCATGACAGTCTTAGAGGCATCGCCAGACGTTGGTGTGTTGTGCGAAGACGTGACATTTGCAGGATCATATGCTTCATCTTCCGCGGCATCAGACACTGTTTTATTGATTTTTGACTGTAAGGACTCTATTTGTTTATCAAGAAGAGCTTTTTTAGCATCCTCAACTTGCTTAGTCAAACGTATCAGAAGCTGCTGTTGTTCTGTCATACTAGAGTCAGAGTCAAAGGTTTTTAACAAATTTGATTTCACTTCTGAAGGTACAGTATCCGCAGCACCTATTTGTGGCAATGTTTGAGCAACGTTTTTAAGGAGTGCATTAAACTTTCCACTACCTTCAGTTGTATCTACCAATGGTTCAGGTGTGTTCTTCACCACTGGCTGAGGGAAGTCATCCAGTACGTCAGAGGGATCGTATGGTGCTTCCCTCTCTTCCTGCGAAGGGGAGTAAGCTTCCACAACATCTTCAAGCAGTTTAGAACGGTCAGCACAAGTGTACTCTGCTACTATTGGGTCTTCCATCTGCTTGCCTTGCATGAACCAATCAGAATCTGGTAGCGAAAGAGACCTTTTCGCTCGTTTCTCTTCTGGCCCTTCCTTAACTGCTCTGGATTGATAATTAGTTGCCAGGGCAGCAGGATTGAAACTGTCAACAGAATGTCGTTTAGACATTGATGAAGAAACTGCTGATCGACTTGGACGAATCTTACTAGATGATGAGTGACCTGATGCCCATGGTTGAGAGTCTTTATAACGTACTATTAATCCAAGAAGAAGGTGCGGCCTAGTTTTTTCCAATCCTGCAAAACAAATATCAAAATAAGGTAGTGTATAAAATTAGATACAACCGATGGCTACTATTAATGCTAATTCTCTAGTCTTGCACTATTCTCATAATTTAGACTAGCCCATTTCTATTCCTACTAAAATGTAAACATCATAGCTTGCCATCCCCTAATTGGCTTTGGCACAGCACATAGTGTTTCTAAAATTTACCAGTTGAACACTGAGTGTACATTTTCAAGTACAGCTGTACATTGGTGGTTCAATTCAAGTCAATAGACAGATTTTTTTTTCTTATGAGCAAAAACAACTCCAACCCCCCTGCCCCCAACCAAACCTCATAATGAGACCTCATTTATGTAGAGACCTTTTACATGATTTTTGATCACTATATGCATACTCTTGGCTCTTGTACTCTAAAATAATTAATAGTAATAATGACAACAGTAAAAAAATTAATCATTTAAATGTGATCCATCAAAGAAGAATTTTCTACAAATCTCACCTGGTGAACTTAATGCGCCTATGGACGAAGGCAATTCCTCAGTAGACGGCAACGGTAAAATATACATGTCCTTTATTGGAGATTTTGCACTACCAACCACGCCGATTCGGTTGCGGTTGTGGAAATACTGGTACAGTGCTATATAGCCAGCTTTGTCGTTTTCGTCCGCTACATGCAGTCTTATGACAACCAGTTCTGTAGTGCTGGACATATGAAGCTTCTTGAAATAATCCCACACCGCTTCTTTCGGAATTCGGCCACAGATGTGAATTGTGTTTCCAAGGTTCTACAAAAAAAAACATTAGATAAATTTCAAATTTGCACTACAATATCATTAGTAAATTCCATTCACTATTTAATATATTTTATATTTATATTGAGCCTAATGCTTAAAGCCTTAATGTTTTGGTTATGTGGACACAAATTCATTAATGTTTGGGTGGAGGGAGGATACATTCTGATAACGTGTGTTACTCAATTACACACCATATCAGCGTCAGAATTCCACTCCTTTAAGCTCTACACCATACACAAGACTAACTGTCCCCTAGAAAAACCCATCCTATTTTGTACACCCATATTAAGGGGCCACAATGTTGGCTGATAATCAAAGAAAAATATATATTTCAACACTATGTAAAACCAAGGCAATTCAACAAGGACACACATCTCCACTCTCAAACATAGCGCGTGCGTACAGTCCTTTGATCTTTACTATGGCATCAACAATCTGATACTAGTTGCAAGTACAGCCGTAAATTATTAGTCTATATGTGCCATACGTTTTATTGTGTTAGTTACTATTTTATTAATTTTGGGTACTTCACAATGTCTGTTACATCTGATTTCTTTTGACCACAAGCTTGTTAAATGCTTCCATAAACTGCAATTTGATTCATGAAAATTGACCAACAAACTGAAAAGTTATAGCAATTGAAAATTTACGATTTTTATGAAATTTCATGTTCTTATATTGGGTACTCGCAATGTCTGTTACATCTGATTTCTTTTGACCACGAGCTTGTTAAATGCTTCCATAAACCGCAATTTGATTCGTGAAAATTGACCAACAAACTGAAAAGTTATTGCAATTGAAAATTTACGATTTTTATGAAATTCCATGTTCTTATATAACATTCAACTGTCATTTTGACAATGTTGGACTAAGGTGTACAAAACGAACATTTGAGTAGATACAGAAAATTTATACATTTTTTCTGCGAAGTGAGTCTCATGAACGACAATACACCACACCACAATACTAGGGAGTATACCCAATTGCGTCTGGGACAACTACGCAGTGCAAGGATTGCAACGAAAATGCTGTAGCAACTATGTAGCAATTCTATGGAAACCAGGTTTAAATAAAAATGGATGAACACATAAAAAAAAAATGGCATGCCTAAATATGGTCATGATGACATCACAGTTTTTTGTCAAAAGCAAATCTAATAATCTGGACAGAGCTCTAAATAACAAAAAACTAATGCAGATAACACTTACTAATGACAGATGCTTGTGGTTACCAGAGACTTCATAGGCTGCCGTATTAAACTTGGCTACGTCTGGCATAAAAACAGATCCCTTCCAAATGTGAGTTGGTTTAGGTAGAACAGGTGTCGGCGGTGACACGTCAACACGTTCAGATGGTTTACTCAGTGGAGAAAAGCTACAAAGAAACAACAATCAGTTCAATAAATCATTGATATTTTATATGTCTGTAATAAATTTAGAGCACTAATCAAAGGATTGGTAGTTCAAGTGACAAAAACTTTTATGCAATATAAATTATCTAGGAGTAGAGCTGCAGCTTAGGCCTATACAAAATATTATTAGTTTATCACTCTATCCAGAGGTGACAGAACTAGGGGGTGCTGTGTTATGGAGAGTAATGTGTGACCGGAAATGGTCTGCAGTTAGTTGGTTGTTACCATGTGATGTTGTTGCCAGTGATGTTGGAGTATATAGTACAGCAATATGAAACTACTTGGCCTAATGAATGAATAAAGTTCAGAGTTTGTCGGGTAGTGAAATGATTATTTCACATTTTAAGTGCTCCCTAAATTCATAAGTGTAAGCTAAATTACGGTGATTAATTCAATTAGCGAAGATATGGAGACAAATTTCGAATCCCTCTCTCCAAGAGGGGATGCAAATGCTTTGTGAAAATGAGTACGCTGCGGTACTCATTTTCACAAAGAAATATACACAACTGGTTAGCTAACAATTATGTCAATGTTACATGAACACCTGGGAAGGAAGGTGCAATCACGTTGTTACCTAGCAAACGTCTGTACTGTATGGGGGAGGGGCTGCTGATGTACTGTGTAGCGGGGGACGATGAGGCATAAGACTAGGCCTAGGCCTATTAACTAAGACAGTGGAATTATATGTGATAGAGAGTACACTTTCCGAAGAAATAAATTAAAATAAGAAAAAAAAAATAACTAAGAATAATTCATTTGCAGAGGTACCTGGTAGGTATTATACAATGCTAACAATGCGGCTCTTGTAGCCCTGGCTTGGGAAAGGCATCCATGTGCAAAGCAGTGGTGTTTGTTTATCCATGAAAAAAGTACGCCACTGGGAAAGTTTGCCTTACCAGGAAAAGGTGACGTATCTAGCTTATGACGTATGCATGCTAACTGATGTGAGTGTGACGTCACCAAAAAATGAATATTTTCTATTATAACTAAAATATTAATAACTACAAAGTTTATGGGCGTAAATTCCCTTAGTACGAATGAAGGGTTGCACAATCTCCTTGCCATACCAATTACAGCTCCCACTGATGTCTCAGTCGAGAAATACAGGTAGCTGAAGTCTTTCTCGCAAATCTGACTACAAAACCATATCCAAATTTCACGTTCCACTTTTAACCCTGAGTTGTGCTTCGCACTCGCCGCTGAGGGCGGCGTTCCGGGAACCCTGCGTCTAGGCAGGAAGTGATGAGGGAGAGAGGCTTCTTTTTATATTTTGGTAAAGCCAAATATTACCCTTGGGTTGTTGCTGGTGCATTGATATTCAAATTAAAACATGATTGAGATAATACAAACAATATCTACTAATTATTTAATTTAAAAAAAAAAAATTTTAATTAAAAAAATAATTTTTCTTAAAAATAATTTTTTTTTAGTACCATAAAAGACATGTGAGCGAGGATGATAAACTAATAATCAAGATTTCTTTCTCACAACTAAAGGAAAATCCACTCCCTATACCTCACAATAAGATTAAATAAATAAATAATTTCATCTTATATGGCGCATGTATATCCATTTCAGACAGCTGCTCGCTGCGCTATTTCCACCTGCAGCCTTTTCTGCACTTTCTCTTATTTACTTATTTTTTAAAAATAATATTTCTTGTATATATATATATATATTTTAACAAATTTATTAGTGGGGGAAAACAGGCAAAACAAGTGCATAAACACCCAGGGGTCATCCATCGATTGTCACTCAATAGCATTCCCGAACTTCTACTGTACCTAGATGGCTAAACAAAGGAACAGGAAACATATTTGCCCTGCCACAGGCGAACGGATTCTCATAGGTGTTAATCGGGACAATGGCCTTCCTCCCTGGAGGTAGATTTTCATTTATTTCTTTATAATAAATTGGTTTATTTAGCATTTCATAATCCCAGCATGTAAAATGTTTTACAGTTGGATATGGAAAACATCTGTTTGTAAACATTTTCAATAAGATCTCAATAAATACCTGGTTGTTAATGGATCATATTCTTCTTCTGTATCATCTTTATCATCCTCCTTCTGCTTAGACATTCCTACCAATTTCTCTAGGATTTCTTCATCATATGAACTATCACTTTGCAAAACATTTTGCCTGTCCTCTGAGCTCTTGCGATGGACGACCTTTGTCTTCTTCACCGGAGCAATGTCATCCTTAGGGGGCGCCATTTTTCCAGTACAGATCTTGCAGTTAGAATCAAACAGATGTGCCCTGTGTTGTGAAGTTGTGTCATCGAGCAAGGTCGATAAGGGGTCAGCATCCTCAGCTTCTTTGCTGTATCCTTTCTTGAGTTTGGTTGGAGACTTTTCTATTACAGTCGTCTTTATGGTAAAAATGTGAATGTTAATTACTTTATATATATGTAGCAAAGCCAAACTAGTTGCTCATCTCAAAAAAATCTATTTTTATTTATTAATACACAGTTAAAGAGTAAAATGAGAGATATAAAATGGTAAAAGAATCGTTTAAATCTGTCATTTTGTTATGAAGTTACAGGAGTTTAAACATACACCTGTTTAAAAAACAATATTTGAGGAATCAGCCTTCAAAGTTCTTGAGTTTGGGCATTTATTAGGCAGAAACTATCACCAAATCATTAAAATTTCATTGAAAATGGGGAAAATAACAGCATAGCATGATAATATATAGATATATAAAAGGTAATAGTTTAGTGTAATAAAATATATTTTTTTTTAATTTTGACACTCCAGCATGTTTTGGCCATTATTTCTAAAACAGGATTTGTGACGAGTGACTGGTTACGTTAGTCTTTGCCACATATATTCACTTAATTTAACAATTCTTTACAGCTGGGCTCATACTATAGAACCACTTAAAAGATTTACCATTATATCTGGAAAAATAAATATATTTATTACAGTTCTAAAAGTATTAATTCATTATTGTACTTCAAGCCTAGACGAGAACTGACTCATGGAGGAGAAATCATAATCTAACATGGTTCAAGATATGTGCAAGAAAAAAATGTCTTCTGTATTAAAATCTTGGATTTGGATTTGAATTTATTCACTGTGAAACACACCAAAGATAGCCCTTGAAAGTCGGAAGATATTGTTCCAGTTGAGTTTTCTGGTGTTCTTTCATGTGCACACAGTACCAATGACGTAAACATTTTTTTCGAATGAAACTTAGAAATCAGCCCTACAGCTGAAAGACAAGGAGGCTAGCATGTATGGATCTTTCCCCTAAGCCCTGTTCCTTTAATATTGTGTCTAAGGTCCCACAAAACGACAGTATTAAAACATACGCAAACACGTGCGTATTGCTGGCCCTGTTCTGATTGGCCAGTAGTTAAGTTTGATTGACATTCCAGAAAGGTCAATAAAGCCAGGGACCAAGTAAAAGTCTCCATGTTTCAGTGCACACCAGTAGCTAGCAGACTGAGCTGAGCTGCTCCTCTACCTACCTCAAGTGCACTGTAGTGCTCATCCTCAATCTCCACTTCCCCTTTGTGTGTTTTCTTGGTCAGTTGCATAGGTGTAGACTTCTTAAGTTCTTCTTCTTGCTTGATCATCTCTAAAGCCTAAACACACGAAACAATGCATGCGTCTATATAGCTCTTTTCACACTATCAAATTTGCAAATTTAGCAAATTTGTATAATGTGCTCATATATAGGCATGATGATGTCATATCACACCCAAATATTTTATTTTATTTTGTTTCATTTCGCATTCAATAGCGTGTGGCCCCCACTTACAGAATGGGAGAAAAAAAATGTATTTGTCACACAAAATTTTATAGTGTGGATAGGAGAGAGAGAGGGGAGTGCTGTTACTATCTAACGTTTAAGCCTGTTGTTTGGGGACTAAAAAGCTTAACAGAATTAGTGAGCCAACAGGAGGCAGTGTTTGCCTTCCTGGAGTAGTGGCGCTATATAAAACTTTATACAGGACACAAGAGGCAAGGCAAATTTTCCTTACATGTTTGCTTTCTCGCTCTCGCCATTCCGACAGTTCCTTTGAGGCCAACTCTTCTGAAGACATTGTCACCAGTTTTTTTGCAGGCAGGTCTTTATTCAGAATCATGCGAAACAAGCCCTGCAAATAAACACAAAATAAACTAGAGCAGTCACTCCATAGAATGCATACCTACGCCGTGTGGCTGAATACCAACTATAAGCAGACCATGTATGATAGGCGAAACTGCAGCATACCCTAAAAAAAATAATGGAATCTCCTGTTGTATTCAGGTACATTATTTTCTTGAGTGCTGCCTGAACATAATAAGCAACTGCATTAATTTACTCGAGGGTAAATAATTGAATTTCTGTGACCTTTGACTATTTGATTTGATTTGTCTGTCTTTGATTATTAGGTACCATTCCACTAAATTGTATTCCATTAAATATTATTTAATTTTTTATTCCATTCATTAGTGTAACATTACAGACGGACACTACCTCCTGCGCGGAGGTAATAAATGTATGTACATTATCACAGGAAAATACTAGCATGTAATAGTATAACTGTCGTTTATCTAGTACCATGCCCCATGCATCACAAATAAATGATATTTTGAAAATAAATTAATTTACAAATTTTTTCATGAATTCACAATAATTCTTTTCTATAATTTTAAACAAATATAAATTGATTTAACATACATCTTCATTAGCTAATTATTCGTTAATTATTTATCAAACGAATTACTGTATCATTACCTTGTTTTTGGCATCTTTGATATTAAATACCAAAGTACGATATTTAGCTTTATACTTTGTGCTAACATCCCGGTGAATTTTGAATAAGTTCTCTTCTATCTTGACACACATTTTCTTCACATATGACTTATCATAAGGAAGATCCTTTGCCTCAGATAACCTAAAAGAAAAACACAAAATAATTGAACTGGTTATTGGGCGTTGCATATTTGTGTCTGGAATGTGCCTTGTGTTGCTGGAACAAACAAACCATTTGGAGTAAATTTAGTAAAATTCCGTACCTTGTAAGAAAAGCATCCAAAAATGCTTTACGTACGCTGAGTCGAAGTTGGTCCTCACTCGGTTTAGGTGGCTTGGGCGGTTGCTCAATCTTGCCTTTCTTTGGTGTGGCCTTTGACGTCTCTTTGGATGATGACTTTGGCGACTCCTTTGGTGTTACCTTTGGAGACTCCTTCGGTGTTGGCTTTGGGGCTTCCTTAGGTGCTGCCTTTGTTGTCTCTTTAGTAGATTCCCTCAGCTTCTCTATAGAGACAAACAGGAGTTGTGTTTGTATCAACAAAGGCTTTTAAAGTAAATACTAAGGATTTTATTCATTTTTTTATATATATTTAAAACATGGTTACATCCCGGGAAAAATTACATTGCTTAAAATTGAATGTACAAGATCTATGTAACATTTAACTATGTTAACTATGTATTAAAAACCATTGGTTTCAAGTGCAATACGGCCAAACGCACAATGAAGAATGCAGTACTCTCTTTAGAAAACAGTTAAGATTGTCTTCCAGTGTTCTGTCCAATTCCCCAACTAAAAGGCTCCCATTAGAAATATGCAAAAGGAAAAACCAATCCATGCAACAGATCATGAAGCTTAGAAAAAGAATGATGTTCTGGAACACCGATGCAGAAATTCAAACCTTTGAATAATGCTGATAATGGGGGCTGCCATGGGGAGGGTACACAAGCAACAAATTATTTGTGGTTTTATATCTGAAATCAAATATACAACTGAGAATTATTATTAATGCTTTTACTCTCAATTACACCTCACATTCTAAAACAAACACCACCATACATACCTTCACTAGATTTCTTGTAAAATGAGCCTGCAGAGTGGCTTCGAGCCCTTGGCTTGACCACTTCATACGTAGGATGCCTAGTAAGCCATTCCATCAGATTACGGTCATTTGGTGCACTATCTCCTTTCCTGATCCTTCCAGTGTGTCTTTCAATAACTGTAATATGCTCTATGGACTGGAGGCCATGACCTTTGGAGTCATGCTAAAAATAATTTTTAAATTGTAATCAAATATAAAAAAAATTTAAAAGGGCAAGTTTGTCACAGATAAACTGATTCTTGTTACAATACTTAGAGAAACTGATTCTTGTTACAATACTTAGAGAAACTGATTCTTGTTACAATACTTAGAGAAATTGATTCTTGTTACAATACTTAGAGAAATTGATTCTTGTTACAATAGTTACAGAAACTGATTCTTGTTACAATAGTTACAGAAACTGATTCTTGTTACAATACTTAGAGAAACTGATTCTTGTTACAATAGTTACAGAAACTGATTCTTGTTACAATAGTTCATACTAGCATGTGCTCATATCAATATATATGTACTGCTGCACCAGCGTGAGGTAATAGGGAATATATCCCATGACAGATAAACTTACCGTTGACTTTGACGATCCAGGAGACTCTGGTTTCACCTTTAATCCAAGGCGATTACGATCGTGACGAATGAGACGCATCGAATCCTTGGCATGATCAATGATGCATTCGTTGCTGCAGTAGACAGTGCCTTGTTTGGCCGTTCTCTTACACGCAGAATTAGCACAACATTGTTTCGAAGACTGGTGCTGCAAATATGCAAGTTACATTCAACGTTATAAACAATGTTACAAATTCAATATTTGAAATACTGTAAAACTGTGGCCATGTGAAACAGAGCATGTATGTTTGCATATACCACCTCTGAGTAAAGGGCCATCAACACATGTAATCAGTTTGAAATTTTAATCCGTAAAAACCTGCTTTTAATTCTCACTAAATTAAGTAAAGAAGACAATTGTGTAGAGACATTTAATGCAATATTTGTTAAATTATGGTTTTGTAGGATGAAGTAAGTAATTTTGAAACATCTATTAAATACAGTATAGATGACTGTATTTAATACCATAGTATGAAGTGCAATTCATAATATCCATCCTATGACAGTAACAACTTAAATTTACTAGTGATTTTTGTAATTGATAAATAAAATCTTCAAATTATAGTGTGGTTGACTTTAACAAGGTAACATTAGACTATCACATAAAACAATGTAGGACAAAAAGAAAGATAAAAACACAAAAATGTATTATTAATGGTGGACTCAGTAATGAGGGTAGAAATCAGCATCAGAAGTTAGTATTCAGGGCAAAAGAGGACAGTGTTCAACTTTAGAGAGGGCAGTATTCAGGGCCAACCAACGACAGTGTCCAGCACTACAAACTGCAGTATTTGGTGCTGAAGAGTTCAGAAGTGATATGGGCCCACTTTAGCGACTCCTTCAAAGTTAGCATTGCTGCAGGGCTCCCCTCAATATATCTTTTATCGAATGCAAATAGAAACAAAATTGAATTGGCGATGTATTTATCTAAATCGGTAACATGCAACTGAAAAGGTGCATTGAATTTGACATGCTAGTAATATACACATATATGTTATAATGTTGCCAAAATAGCTTATTTCAAGACAGAGAGATGCACTAAGCACACATCACTGTCTACCTGAAAAGTATCAAATTTGTACTGTAGCAATTCATAGCCTGAAAAACATTTTGAGACTAAAAAATTCCATCAGTAATAAGGGAGAGATGTTTTCACAAAGAATTCATGACTAAAAGCAAACTTTGGCAACACTTTTTTTGTGTAATTTTACTTTTGGAGTCGATGTCTTCTTCGTTGGGCTTGTGGGAGTCTCTGATTTGCTGTCTTTTCTTTTTCTCATACCCTGTAAAACCAAAATGATCTAAAATTCATAGGAATACAGAGAAAATGTCACAACATCCAAGAATCCCATTGCGATAATGTATCCATTCACTGGGATAACATCCTCCTCCACTGAGTACTGTACATTCCTTCATCTATTGAGGTCATTTCTTCATTCACTGGGGTCATTCCTATTCCTTCGGAAAATTCCATCATGCCTTGAGGTCATACTCTCATTCACACTGAGATTTTTCTTTATATAGAGTTTCCAGACCTCCATACTATACCAAGAGCATAATATGCAGATAGTAGAAATAGTATCTGTTTTGTTGAATTAACAACTATGGTAATAGGTTCAACAAAACAGATAGTTCTACTACACTTACCTGTATGGAACCAGATGAAATTATTTGAGCATATTATGCAGATGTCATAATTTTTTCTATGATTCAAGCTAATTTATTGTACAAGAAGGAAATTCTCTTTGGGCATTACAATTACAAATATACAGTAGAACCCCTCATTTACGTACGGGACGGGCCCAAAGGTGTTCGTAAAAATCATTCGTACGTAAAATCGGGGTTGTGTGAAATTCCTATGTATTTACACTACCGATATGCTAGGCTGGGCTAGGATAGGCCTGGACTTAAATTTTCTTTGGACTGGAGCCAAAACTCCAACTTGCGCTCAAAAGAAATTCGAAATAACGATCATAATAATGTACAGTACTATACATACTTGTTAATGGGTATAGAAACTTTATTGTCTCTTTCTCAGGCAATAATATATGACTTATCTTCTAGCTTTACAAAGAAACACAGCCCAGCGGGCGCCACAACAGGGCGAGTAACCAACGTTTTTCACTCGATCCATGTGGTTGTGGCGTCATATAAATACCCTGTATAGAATAACCCGGAAACCAGGGGTTCTCAACTTTTTAAAAGAGCTCTGATTGGCTGTAGACACTGCGCTTGGACTTTTTTTGTATGCAATACGATTGTTCTACGCCTGCATTTATTAAATGAATAATAAAGTTATAAAAAGAAAATGTGGGTGTCAGTGTCTTATTTTATGGGGGAAATAATGAAATGGTTGATTAACGTTAGTTAATCTACCATTTGATAAATACATTCCAATCATAATTAGGGGGTTCATTAAATTACGATATGAGGGTGGTGTATTCAGAGATGAATAAATCATGCGCCAATCGATATGCCGACAAGTTACGCATTGGGCGGAGTTTTCTCACGGCTGCAGACATGAAGTATGATCGCCGTGTTGAATGTCGGTGTACTCAAAGCACACTATCTGTAGTAGAGATCGCTGATAGTGTACAGCAAACCGAGTGAATAAACTCTAGCCCACGCCTAACGATTAATTCTTGACACGGGTGTGTGTTTTGTTCATGAAATAGGAACTTTATTTATGACAACAATTACATGATTTTACGTTCGTAAAATCGGGGTTCTACTGTACTAACATCATCACCACAGTACACACAAACATACACACACATTTAGTTTTGGATTGTGTCACAAAATCAAAACCTTCTGATCAGACTTAATCAGCCTTTATTGAAGTAGGTGGTAGATGGAAGAAAATTATTTAACATATTTGGGAGGAAGCCCAATCTCAATCAACATTCTTTTACTATACAAGGCATAGTTGGCATACTTCCTTATATTTATCATTAGCATATTAAGTTTATTAGTGGGTTGGCAATTTAAGCTAATTTGTTTTTTTAAGACCAAGTTTTATCGCTTAAAATTGAAAGCCTATTTGTTATACTCATGCTGTCTGTAATTCTTACCATACATTTTAAAATCTAAAAGAATACTTGCATTATCAAAAACAACATATGAACAGAAAACAACCAACATATATGTCTACCTTAAAAACTAAAGCTTCTTCAATAGAAAAATAAACATACAAAATATACACTTGATATAATACTGTAGATAAGGAAGAAACTATATAATTGGTTTGATCAAAATGTCTGCCACCCACCTTTATAAACTCTGCCATTTTCTCATTTACACCAGCTCTACTGCTTGCAACTTTATCTTCCTTCTCAATATTATCTTTACTTTCCTTGTCCTTTCCTTTATGTGGAAATGAAAACGGATTAAAAAAATTATTATTACACAATATTACAGAATGTACATTTGGAGAAATACAATTCTAAAACTAATCAAATAACTCTGCAATAACCAGACGACCATTAACTAAATTGTACAAGTCAAAAATTTTAAAGAATGGGGAGTACTGGTGGTTTTTACGGAATAATGGGTGGGGCGATGCAAGGAAGTAGGATCATTTTGTTTTACCACTAAACAGTACTAAATAACTGCCTTATTAAATATATTTCAGGGCTTGTTTCACTCACTTTAGTTCACTATCAGATACCTGTGATTTGCCTTAAATTTTGTCACATAATATATAAATAAAACCTGATAGGCAGAGTTAGACAGAGACAGAGCTTATTCTAACCCCTACATGGGAGTGATATTTAATTAGCAAGATTTATCATGTCCTCAACCCAAAATGAACCAATAGCTACATACAGAGTTTGAAACAATGGACCACAACCATACCATATCTTAACCTCACTGTTTCAATTCGTCAACATGTAAACTACAGTTGAACTTGCCTAAGTCGATTCCAAAATGCCATTGAAATATTGTTAAACTGAGATAAAATTTGACTTACAGATTGTTAATTAATAGAAAACGCAAGAATTTGGCAAGTAAATAAGATTAAATCAGAAATTATTCGATTAATGCACAGTCGACTTAGGCAAGTTTAACTGTACATACCTTTGCAGTGAGCACAAAACCACTTCTCAAGCTGATGGCTCTCCTTTTTCGTGATGCCTACGCAAGTCCCATGGAACCATTCACTACACTGATCACAGCTTATCATGAACCTGTTTGGAAGACAAATTAAGAGTTGTGTTTAGTAGAAGTACAATTTAACTTGCCTAAGTCGACTTTGCCTACCTCAAATAATTTCTAAGTCGAACTTATTTTACATGCCAAATTGTTGTGTTATACATTAATTCACAATCTGTAAGTCGAATTTTATTTAAGTAGAATAATTTTTCAATAGAATTTTGGATTCAACTTAGGCAAGTTCAAATGTAGTCCATACTACTAGTCCTGATGCTGACCAGACCAGAATGATGCAAATACTGTACATCATGTAGATGTAATAAGCAAAGCAAATGCTTCATTGAGAGGGGATCACAATTTGGAGGAAGTCACTTCCAGTAGATCTGATTAAATGAGAATTCCAAATAACACCCATTACCTAATTTGATTTTCCTGTAGGTGGTGATAGCATCCGAGACCTTGTTCTCAGAAGTGTGTAGCTAATCCCAATTTCCAGAGACTCGCGCAACCCACAGGAGACTTAAGATAAACCCTGACATCATCAGGTAATTCTTTGCTCTGTTTCCCAGTCTCCAGATCTATATAGCACTTTACACCAGTCTCAAAGCTCTCGTAGTGTGGACTAGCTCATACAATAACTTTCTTCTTCCCTAAATGTCTGAGCTACTCGTTAAACCAATGCCAGCTGATCCTGCCTTTCGACAACAGGGGCAATATGGACCAGTACAGTGGCGGCTCTAGGATATATTTTCGGGGGGGGGGGGGGGAGGGGGGTGTCAGACAAGGGGGACTTGAGCTCGTAGGCTCGAGCTGGGAGAAGGGGATGAGAGGAGTTCCTCCACCCAAATGAGATTTTTTTTTAAAGAATATCAACCTCTAAATGAGACAGACTATGACAGACATGTGTTGCCTTGGTGTGGGTCTATTTTTTTATGTTTTTTGGTCTGACTGCCCAACGAGCTCTGTCCGGTGGGGGTGGGGGGCTTGACCTGTCCGGTGGGAGGGGCTTAAGCCCCCCTGGGGTAACCCCCCTCACACTTATCTCGAAAGATATACTGGGTTCCTTAAAGTGCATATGACTGAGCCAATTGTGTACACTGAGACTACAATTTATAGTTCTTAACCGAGAAGGCTTGATATCCACCTCTAGAACCCATAGGCGAATGTGTCGTTTGAACCAGAGAAGTGGCTGTAGGTTGCAGTGCCCCTACATTTCCACTGAACACTGCATACACTTATTGCAGAGTGTACAGACAACATCAAGTTTACGTTGCCGTTGCCCATGACACGCCCATACTTTATGGTTCATCAATTAAAAGCAGTTATTGCCTATAAACACTAGCTGTTTTAATTCATACATTACATTGTATTAGTAGGGGTAAATCATTTGTACTCTTCAACACTTATTATTTTTCAAATCAGACATGCCTTATCATTTTCAAGATATATAATGAACTTAGTTATAATTTTCTTAGCTGTTGCGTTTGAGCTATTTCTGCTATGTTGTTGCACAAATAAATTGGTAGAGGTTTAAGTTTAACTAAAGGTTATTGGAAGTACTGTAATTAATAAACGTCGGGGCCTAGGCCCAGTCATTGGATTAAGAAGCAGAATGCATACAACAACCTCCCGCACAACCTACAGATCCGGCCTGCTAAACTAACAATAGGTCATATACTAGCATGTACAGCAGTAAGGACATAAAATGCTCTTTAAGTAAAGCGGTGTGGCCTGAGGTTTGTAGGTGCTATGTTGGTATAACAGCTAAATATTCTTACCATACTCCGAAAGATTCGGAATTTTACGTCAGAGCAGGTTAGGCTGCAGCAGCTTCTGAGCCTACTGTATACGTGCAATATTATTATTATTGTCCACCAGTACTCGGGCTTAGCTCGTGAGCTTAATGTAGTGTACTCTATTTACATGAAGTACGCCCTCTATTTCCAACACGCAATTATATACGTATACATTTGAGTACAATTGACCGTATTTATTTATTAGATTTAAGCATACGCTCTTTGAAACGGCGGCACATACTGAATATGGTGCGTTAAATACTTTTCGACAATCCTTTTCTGCAGGACAGGTTAAATTTTTGTATGAAGCAGAAGAAAAGGCATTTCAAACTATGCTGTTATACCTGTATACAGTCATCTCTATATTAGAATGGAATCACATGGGCGTTGTATATATAGAGAAACACATTCAGTTCGTAAATTACCATTGCCTTTCTGACGACATAGCTTCCAATCATCAATTAAATGCTATAATACGGATGAAATTATAACCGCCAGGAATAAACCAACCTTAGTTATATTTTAAACAAATAGGTAAATATTAACATTGTAACAATACTCAAATAGAACATGTAATAATCGTATCAAGAATCACTAGAAGTTCCTTTATTTCAGTTCTATGAAAAAAAGTGTTTCTGGTGGGATTCGAACCTGCAACCTCTCACAGTCAAGGCGAGTAGGGCCTATCATACACATTCGTTATTTTTATATTGATACCACACCGCTAAGCCACGCCCCTCAGATATTGTTGCCAAGGTCCCAAAAAACGATAGCATAAAATGTACATAAAAACCTGCATTTGTGGGGCAAGCGCATATTCTTGGCACTAATTCTGAATGTTATTTGTTAGGATTGAAAAGTCCATTATGCACAATACGTATATACTTATCTGACTAATTAATATTCACTTTCAGGTACATGAATATAATTAGTCAGATAAAATATTGACCATCAAAATCAAAGAATTCCACTGTAAAACTGAGCAACTTTCTAAACCTAAAAAGTGGTGGATACCGGAATTTCAAATATTTGGGAAACCAGGGAGGAACTTTCACAGATGGAAAGTCTATACCACCTCAGCCCCACTATGGGGCTGAGATAAACAAAATATGATCATGACACCTCTACATGGTCGGAAATGGCACCCAGACATTAAATTTGAATTATAACTTTTTTTCTCCATTTTTTCTATTTTCAACAATTTAGGGGGAGGGGGAAGGTGAAAAAAAAATGTGTTCTTGCTCTCATACCAACAGAGGACAGCGTGGGTAGTTCTTTGTTACTTCTTAATTGTTATCCCACCTTTGTCCTGTCCTTTTTCTTGACGGTCAATTTTTCTTGTCGTGACCTGAGTGGCTCTTATTATTTGTTGAAGAGAATATTCTTTTTGACAAGAATTCCCCATGTTTTTTTGGCCTTGGTAGAAGTAATCTCCATTCAAAGCAAACTCAAATGGAGCCAATAAAAGCAATGACTGTGAAATAGACACTACAGGATTTTATTTAAATAAATTGAAATTCAGAGTACCTTTTTTGTGCGCATAGTGCGTTTACGCAATAATTACCATTACGAAGCCCATAAATGCACTAATCCTATTAAACAAACACAAGAATAACTTGCTACTTGCTTTTTTCTCGAATTTGGTCAAATTTGCCTGATCACCTTAAAGATGTGTTGACC